CAGCAATGGTACTTGTACCACCAGTCAAAAATCTTGTTTGAAGAACATCTTTAAGCTAGTAGAGCAGATTATATCAACCAGCTGCAATACATAGAGACCGAGAAGAAGGAAAAGCAGAAAGTATAATACTTTATGACAAACAGAATTCCATAGCTGAAAAAAAACACATAAAAGCTTTCTTTGTGTTGCATGAAATGGTTCATATGCACCTGCCTTTAATATCCAATAAAGACAAGCTGTACTCAGATACCATGGCAGGGAGCAGCGGAAAGAAATCAGAAAATAGGCACAGTATAAAGAAGGACTTACCGACTAGAGATGAGTCACCTGAAATGAAAGAAAAGACAGGAAAAAAATGGGATTAGTCCAAAGGGTATAGCAAAACATTGTTCACACCTGTTCATCAAAGGAAAGTCACAACTAAATGAGATATAATAACAGAGTGAGAAAAAGGAAAGTCAGAATGCAATTAACATTTTATGTCTGCGAGAGAGAGCCGTTTCACACATAAAGCTGAAACACAGAGCTGCTAATTGAGATGGTTGAGGAGAAAACAACTGCTGATCGTGTTCTGAAGGCAGCAGTCATATTTTTCGTATAAGATAAGACTTAAAGGTCAGAAGAAATTCTTTCAGGCAACAACTCTCCTCTCTTCACATTTGACATTCATCCACGTAAAAAAAGTCATTATGAAAGCCAGGCATCATATCAAGCGTGAACATCTTAATGTACATATACATTCTATAAAAACAAACTGGAAATAGCAACAAGATTAAGCAAAAGAATAAGAGAAAGTAACAAACTGATATATTTAAAGTTGAGAACATAATGATAAATGATATTAATTCTTTGTAAATTCAGACATTAGGTCATCCAGGTCATAGTCATTCCAAAAAAGAAAAACAATCCACTGGACTTTGTTTCTTCCTGGATGGGAAGCAGAATGTCTTCAAACTTGGGAACAATGTCCAGTGGATTGTTTTTAACTTTTTTTGGAGTTTAATACATAGATATTCTTTAATATAATACGCTTTATGTGGCAAATAAGTCACTAGTTGGTGACCAGTTTAACATACAGTCACTTTTTTTCTCTTTCTGCGTTTTTTATCACTTTTCCTGCATTCCTGTGCTTATTTATTTTGGACTCCTTTTACCAGGTCATTAGCTCATAAGCCCATTTACACTACCCTGTGAAAACCGATCCGTGCCGAGCTTGGATCAATTAACCATGAAGAGCTTGGTGACTTACAGTACCACCATTTACACGCCATGCTGGCCAGATTCCTCGCCTCCTAGTGACGATCTATGCTACTACTGCTCTCTAGAGGTAAAAAAAAAAGCAAACCAACCTGGCGGCGCCCTTAACATTCAGGAAGTTATGTTTGGTAATAATTGTGATATTTTGTTGTTTGTGGAGAGTCAGGCGAAGAAGGCAGCCTTTGGTGAATTTACGTAAAAGGGTTGGCTTTTGGGAATTCCATACGTCAAATGATAGTCTAATCATGGCTTGTAGACGCAGGAAACAATGACGGATGTTGATGAGGTTGAGGCTACTATTTTAATGAACGTCTCAAGTTTTTAGTTGATTACAGAGGCTGACTGTACGGTGCGGTCTGCTCATACATTCTTTGTTATCTGAGAACCGAGCAAGAACTGAACCGCGCCAAGTCCTACTATGAACTAGTACCAGTTTAGCGTGGTTCAGTTGTGTCTGGCATGGTCCGGTTCGGTTGTGCGTGCCATTTAAACACAGTAGTTACAAGGGATGAACGATATAATCGCCCCCCTGCCTATATCGGCCTTAAAACTGAATATCGGACATCGGCCACCCCACCGATATTTAACCCGATATTTGATCAGCTTCTGAGTTTCTAAAGTCTAAAAAAAAAATAAAAAAAAATACTACTTCTTCCTCAAAAACTTCTTTTTTACAGACTTAAAAACTTCTAAAGACGAGGGAAAAAATATTGATACATTAAAATATCACAATATCTTCATATGCTGATATATTGCCACTTAAAAACACCATATCAATCTCTTTTACTAATGAAATATTGCTATATGTCATCGTTATGCTACGAAATCCCCCGAAAATTCACGAAATTTTGCCATATTTTTATATGTTGATATATTGACGCGGTGTCGATCTATTTTACTAACAAAATCTCACAAGAATTTGCAAAATATCACGAGAGTTTGTAACAGAACGATGAAATTTCACGAGATTTTGAAAGTAAAATAGATCGATACCGCGTTTTTAAAAATATATTTGATATCAGCATATGAAAATATATTTGAGTATATTATTTTTCAAAGTGTCAGAAATGGATAACAAAACTGCTATTTTCAATGACTACTTATTTTTGTCCAGCTTTAACATCAGTATCGATATCGGTTATCGGCTACATGAGTTTTAAAATATCGGCATTTCGGATATCGGCCAAAATCCCAATATCGTGCATCCCTAGTAGTTATGTCAGTTACCATGCTTGGACTGATCTCGGCACGAAGGGTATTGTAAATGGGGCTATAATGTCCACCATGACAATGGCGGAGGCAGAACATTTTCATTGGGATGGCCAGTAATGGAACAATGAGCACTGATGGGTGGCCAAAACCTAATCCTGCAAAAACAGAATCGATCTACACTGACCTGTTTCATTAGGTAAATAAACATTACTAACATCTGTATTTTCCAAATAAATCACTAACGGCACACTAAATGTTAATCAATCCTTTGCTAAATGAATGTATATATTTACAATTTAGGCTGAATAAGTGTTTAATTTATGGTTCTGTGATTTACATTCTAAATGGGTCAATCAATTTGTTTTTTCTCTACATAGAGAAGAGTATAAAGAAAGATATTGGCTAAACAACCTGTTAACCCAAAAATAACAACCCCTCTAAAATATATATATATATATGGCCTTCAATATTTTTAATGACTTTAAATAATTTAGTACATCATTTCAAATGTATGCTTAGGTATTTAATATAACATCTAATATTGAAATTGTGCATTTTACAATTAAATGGTATATTTCATATTTTAATTGTCAGATAAATGAATAGATACATTATTCAATGAGTCAATAAATAAATACCGGTACTTTTATTATAACAGGACTTTCACTTTGATGTTTTTCTTGATATATGTTTGCCTAAGGGATCCCATCACAATTATAAAAAAAAAGACCTCTTGCGACCCCCAAACTGAACCCTCAGCACCAATATTTCTGTAATGCTGCTGTCTTTTTTTTTTTTATATACCAAAAATAAAAATGTCAAAAAGTCCACAGAAAAAAAACAAATCACCTAGCAGGGATAACCAATAATTGGCTAGGGGCCATCCCTGGCCACCCCTTGCTCTGCCACTGTGAATAGAGGCAAAATCCTAAGCCTGCTGGCTACAATTCAGAGTTCCCTCATTTATTATTAAGTGACAATATTAGACTAGTCAGCCAAAGTAGGCTGCCTTGCATATTGGAAAGATTGACACCCTTTCAAAGCTCTTGTTGAAAAGAAGACGTTTCTGTCCCAATGTAAAAAAAAAAAACCAAGGAGCTTTGCATGAAACCAAGCCAAACCAGATGCATTAAAGGCTTCTTTGTAATTCAGAGCCAACCTTATTCTCAGGTGCAGCTTCAGAAACAGTGACAGCGCTTAAATATCTGCAGGGGCACAAAGTGGAGTTGGATGAACGCAATCAAGACACCTCCGTCTCCTAGGCCTCGTTTGTTAATATCCTGGACTGTGACACTGGCAGCTGCAGTTCCTGAATGATATCAACTGCTATGCTCCTTCTGACATAGAAAAAAAAACCATCCTCTAACACACAGGGTACAGCCAATGTCAGGAGCAAGCAGGGAAGTGAGTCAGGGTGTTTGAGACAAGGAGGCAGAGATACTGGATTGGACACCAGAAAAAAAACTAGATAGCTGTTCAAACCTATCTCATCCATCATGTCTCTTCAGCTCTCCCTGGTCACTGTCAGCCACCATAAGAGAAATAAAGTTGTGCAAAGCACAATACCAGCCTTTATGTAATATAATGTCATGGCAGCCCTGCACAGATACAAAGCTGTGGCAGCATGTTCACAGCCCAGGTCACGGGGCTGGGGTAATCATGTTTTATTGAGGACGTATTCTGGAGGACTGACAGGACCCTGAGGAAAAGCTATAAAATCTCTAGTGGGCCCTTTAGGATAGTAAATAACAAGAGCTGGATCCCAGCAGAACTGTATTACTCATGGAGGCGTTTCTTGAAGAAAATATACCAGCCAAGGCCGGTGGGCTCCAGCGTACCGGGAAGCTCTGGGGATGTTGAGGCTTTACTGTTCCAAGCCAAAAACTCCTTGTAGAGCATAATTTTCTGTGTAACCACCGGGTGACTCAAAAAAAAAAAGAAGAAAGGGTCTGGCCAAACCCCTCTTTTTGATTGCATTAAGAAGCAGTGATCCCTGTCTGCTGCTTTACATTCCTACCAGACTCCGCACACATTTCCCTTAACGCTCAGTAATGATTTTTTTTTTTAATGTTTAGAAAAGGATATGTGGAAATAACTTGACAAACACGCAAGGCAGAAAGTAATAAGGACACTCTGAGGGCAAATCACCCCAAAAATACACCTGAAGGTCTAGCCTGTGGGAAAAAAAATTCAAAAAAGTACTACTGAAATAAGACAGTCTGAATACATTATTATATTATCTTAATTACAGTATTAACAGTACAAACAACATAAGCTCTTTTAAAGGAAACTTGCTAAAAATAGTTAATCTTTAGTTCTAGGTTTGTTTAAATATATATAATTCCTGGTAACTACATGCTATATGCACTGTTTAATGGCATAAGTATATTTGTTTCAGTTTTGTAAATAAGGAAGAAGTTCCGGTTCGTCAAATTAAAATATAGTAACGATAGATCGCTAACTACAAATTAGAGCATAATTCTTATATATTCCCAAATACTAAGACCATGTAATTAAATAATTGGATAAAAACTATAGGTACTTCAACATACCAAAAAAAAAATAATTCTCATCTTGATCAAAATATTTATATTATACAGAGAAGCTTAGAAGGTTAATCACAACTTCAAAACAAGTAGTGAGATGTGCTAACAAGTTGTTAGAAGTAAAGAACAAACATTTCATACAAGCCATGTATGATGCTGGTTATCCCTGTTCCAAAAATCCAAAACAATAACAAAATATGTGGGTAGAAACTGCACATACTCTATGCTGATAGGTAATTAAACGTTCATTTCCACATATTTTGCTCCTATGAATTTAATAATAATATAGTGCATGCTCTCCTCGAGCTCTGA